GTGTGTGTGTATCCAGTCATCTGTTGATGGACATTTAGGTTGTTTCCATGTCTTGGCTACTGTAAGTAGTGCTGCTGTGAACCCTCTGAACTGTGGGTTTGATGTCTATATGGTTTGGCACTAGGTCAAGGAATATCTCATTTTATTGGAGAATTGTTTTATGTTGGTATTTTGCTTTTGCAGTGCAGCAGGAAGATCCTTCTGGACAGGAGCCATGTTTTATGAGCTCTGACCACAATGTCATGTAACTAAATCTTATGAGTGTCTGGTGAAGTTCCTCTTAAATGAGACCCCTCTAAGCATTAAGTACCTGGTACAAACTCTTAAGTCACATACTGAAAGGGGGCATTACCAAGTTGTTCTAATGGTCACATAGAAAAATCTGCTTAAAAAGTGCCAATATGCCAAAAACCTCTAAGACATTCTCAACATAAAAAGCCAGTCATTTCTATAGTCAGTTTACATTAGTTCATTGTAATGTTCAAAGTAAGTTACTTACTAAGGCAAATTTTTTGTTGAGAATCATCTGCTCCACCAAAGATGACTCATTATGGAAGAGGTGGGGCTGCATGTGGCTCCACATGTGTGGAAACCACCAGAACTCATCCACAGATCCCAACAGACGGTCATCCCCTTCATCTTCCTCTTCAGTTCCTTGGGTTGGGGCGGAAGAGGGGGAAGATTATTCAGTTAATTTCAGTTACACTGATTGTCTGTTTATCTGTCTATATATCTGTTATATATCCATCCACCCATCCATCCAATTATATATTTAGAAGTTACCATTTATATTATCTTCAATACATATAATTGAACATGAAATGTAACAAAGGAAAATAACATGCCTCGAGGAACAACCAGAGAGTGTGATACAGTTCTTTTAAAAGTTTTTAAACATGAGATATGGCTGTAAAATCACTGCAAGACGGACGTACAGAACCATTCCCAAGGATGTTAGAACTTTTAACCTTTAGCATCTTTGTGTAATTTGTAGTTTGGAGAGAATAGGGGCTGAGCAGGGAATGCAATCAAGGGGATGTGAGTGAGGAGATGTACAGCAGAGCCCCAACAGTAAATCGTTCTGATGGGTTGTGACACAACAGTCTCAACAAAATAATTCCATAATTTATCTGGTTTACTCCTTAAGTCTGAGATGCAGCTGCTCAGTCATATTTAGAGAAAACTAAGGCACAAAAAGTAGAAAAGGGGGAAATGGAGGAACTGTTATTGGGAAAACTAGAGAAAACTGAAGGGAAGAAAGAAGAAAGGATGACAGTGATGAAAAGAAGCTGAAAAGTAGTGAAGTCAGAGTGAAACCATCCAAGCTGCTCCTTGGTGGTACTCCTGCTCCTCATGCTCATCCTTTCTGTCAAGTTCTTGGAAGCAGACTTTCCACCAAGAAACTTCTATTTCCCTGAAAGTCAAAGCTTTGTTGTTGTTCTTCTGGTTTTTCAAACATGGGCTTGTTTTATTTCCTCCAGTCTCCCTGACCTGCAGTTTAGTTGAGTGTGGGAAGTCACACAGCTCTCTTAACTTGCCTGCAAGGGTAGGAGTTTCTTTTTGTACTTCCTCAGGCACAGTTTGCTAAAGCATGAAATCAGAGCAGTGTAAGGTACCTGTCTTGGCATAGCATAAGATGATTATTAATCATCACAAAATTAGGCAGCTGCACTTGAATTTCAGCCACAACACTGAATCTAATAAGGTCCTAGAACAGTGGATTCTTCACATGATGTCTGATTTGGGTGGAGAAATGCTCTCTCCTGTTTTCAATAGTAGTTCTGATGTGACTGGTTTTAATAGGACCCTACAGGCTAAAGATGGAGGATGGGCTGCTGCCCTGGCCCAGCCACCTGAGCCCAGTGCTTGTTACCACTGTTCTCTCATTTAATTTTTCCAAGAGAAGGAAGGCAGAGCCTACTGGCAGGAAAAGAATCAGATCTGATGATTTATTGGGCAATAAAGGAGATTTACCAAGGATAAAGTTGTAGTATGAGGCTGCTTGTCTGTTCTAATTTATGCAGGAGGGACAAGATTATATAGAATGAGTGGAATAATAATCCTTCAACAAGGACCGTCTTCAATGTTTAGGTACTCTGCTGATATGAAGGAATTTTTTTTCTCTCTCTCTCTAAAGAGCATCTTTAAATCTAATCTGTTTTATTTCCCTTAATTTTTTCCTCTTCATCATACACTCCTGTTACCATAGTATAGTTGAATAAGTATAGCCTTTGGAGTCAGATTTTTTAGGTTATTTATAGTTTCCAACACATTTGAGTTGTGTGATTGTGGGCAAGTCACATAACCCCTTTAATGTTGGTATTCATGCAGGCAAAAATATGGATAGCAGTACCTATTTTATTCTTTCTGGGAGCAAGTGTCTGCACAGTCCTGTCACACACTGGGTAATCTAAAATGCCTATTTATTTATTTATACTTTTTTCTTGAAGTATAGTCAGTTACAGTGTGTTAATTTCTGGGGTACAGCATAATGTTTCAGTGATATATAGACATACATTTATTTGTTTTCATATTCTTTTTCATTATACATTACTACAAGATATTGAATATAGTTCCATCTGCTATACAGAAGAAACTTGTTGTTTATCCATTTTATATATAGTAGTTAGTATCTGCAAATCATGAACTCCCAGTTTATCCCTTCCCAGTCCCCTCCCCCCGGTAACCATAGTTTGTTTTCTATGTCTGTGAGTCTGTTTCTGTTTTGTAAATAAGTTCATTTGTGTCTTTTTTTTTTTAAGATTCCATATATAAGTGATATCATATGGTATTTTTCTTTCTCTTTCTGGCTTTCTTCACTTAGAATAACGATCTCCAGCTCCATCCATGTTACTGCAAATGGCGCTATTTTATTCTTTTTATGGCTGAGTAGTATTCCATTGTATAAATATACCAAACTTCTCTATCCAGTCATCTGTCAATAGACATTTAGGTTGTTTCCATGTCTTGGCTATTGTAAATAGTGCTTAAAATGCCCATTTTTTTCCCTCCTATATTTCCTGTTCCTGTTTGTCTTGTGTCTCTTATGTGTCTCCTTTTGTGTGTGTGTTTAGCTGTAATACTGCATGGGGTGGAGGTGGGTCTCCCCTGAATGTTATGTGGCAGAGAGGACACTGTATTTAAGAAGTTAAGAACTGATCAAGCTATTGTATTAACTAATTGCTCTGATTAATGAGTCACCAACATCAAGCATTCTTGGGGCTTCTGAGTAACTATCTTATAGCTCAGGGAAGCCTTCTAGAGAGACTGCAAAGGAATAGCAGATGGAATTAGGGGTTTAGAATCTCTGATGACTCCAATCATGGCAAAGTCTTGGGTCCTGTTAGCTTTTAGGTAATAAATAAGGCAGCCCTGGTAGAGAAACACTGGCGACATGTGACTGGTGATGCCTTAATACTTTTTTTATTTTTATTTTTTGACATAGGTATGACATTTGGATTCCCTACAATTAAACATCTCAGTTTACGTATACTCCTCTTGCTTAATATTTTGTATGTCCTCAGGACAGCATATTAATTAAAATTACAGTCAGTTACCTGTTGAAACTTTACTTTTCTGTACTGAAAACAGCATATGTCTCTTGGGGTTTCCCAGTAAACAGTTCATTTCTGATTTCCACATCCCTTGGGTAAAGTGAGGTGAGATTTCCTTGTTTATGAAAAGTCACCCCTCCTACCACCTTTAATCTCTATTTCTTGTCCTCTATAATTCCTATCTTTCCCTGCATCCTTGTTACCTCTGTTCATTTTTCTAGTTGGCCTTCATCCAAAGCTTAATTATCAGAACATTGCAACAGATTTCAGAGTTCTTTGGAACGAAAGCTCAGGCATTTGTTGTCCTTCCCTGAATATTATGGTGAAATCTGATATTAAAATATTCATACATTTTAATCATGCAGCAGTTAGACAAACGACGTCTGCCCTCTGACAGATTTATGTAAATTCATAGTAGGCATAATTGTACGCCTGTCCTTTTTTCTTTATTACTCTTTCTTATCTGATTTCCTTTAATCCTACTTTGGGGATGTTTTATATCAGAATTAATTATATTGAGAACAAGTGTCTATTGCTTATTACTTTAAACCTTATGATAAAAAGTAGCTGAAACAGTTGTTCATGGTTGGATTGTCCTGGCCTCTTGCCACTCCTTACACCCCCACTTTCCCTATTTCAGTCAGAACTGGAGAAGGAGAAATGAACTTGGAGTCAAATTCCACAATTTTAACGGTCATTTCTTAAGTTGTTACAAAACTATACTGAACTCTTATGATTATTAAAAATTATTTTATTATGTATCTATTTAAATAACTTATGTCTCTTCAGTATTTTATTTGTAGTATTTCCTATTCTGATATTATATTAAAAACACCATCATTGACTGAGACTGTGCTAAGTGCTTTTTAGGATCATCTTATTTAATTCTCACTCCAACCCTAGGAGCTAAGGACCTTGCTAACTCCATTTTACAGATAAGGAAATTGTTATTGGGAGAGGTAAAGTAATTTGTTCCACATCACTGGGAATGATGGGATAAATCCTGAATTCAGAGCCTAAATTCTAACCTAGATAACACATCTCCAGGGCCCTTAACTATCATTCATGAACCAAACATGGAGTGTAAAAATAAGATTAGGATTTACTAATTCATGTAACATTGCTCTTCACATTGTTAATGAATTCTACGATTATAATTAGAATTTACAAATACTATTGGTCCTCAGTGATTTGGGAAAATATACAAACCTAAAGAACTTCCCCTAAAGGTAAGGGGAAGTAACCTTTGCCATTCAGCTTCCTTAATCAAGGATTGACAACTGAACAACAAAAATCCATTTTTTTTTCTAATGCATAAGAATTAGACTCTGACTGACCTAAAGTTAAGACTGTTTTTTTAACACTTAACTAGCTATATGAACTTGTGCCCCTCTAAGTTTATGGGTTCTTATCTAGAAAACAAGGTAGCATATTCCTTAACTCCTAGGATTTGATGAAAAGGTACATGAAAAGTGCTTAGTTAAGTACCTAGAATATGGTGTTGCTCACTAAAAGGGAACTAGGGAACTGTAATTTTTATTCCACTATATCTTTATTTCTCACAACATGCACAACTCCTTCAAAAACTAAAATAAATCAAACAAGATGAAACTCTCTCCTGAAATAAAGTCTACTATTTTGACACTGCTGTTTTTCTCCTTTTCAAGACTGAATAAAATAAAATTTTTACTAGAAAACAGAATTACTCATGTAGAAAGAAAGACAATGTAATTCAATTAAACTTTACAATATCTAATTTTTGAAGGATTCAGAATATTAATTTTTATATCTGTTCCCATTGAAAACTGATCTGACTGGTTTTAGACAACCCTGGTCAAATTTCTGTGGGAGTTTTCCTACTGTATACAGATAACAAAATTCTTTCAAGCCTTAGCCTGTGTTCTACTTTCCCAGGCTTACAGAGAGGATGTTCTTACTATGAGTTGTGGAAAGTACTCACAGCAAATAAGGAAAGAGGACAAGTCTTTGAGAAACAAGAATGAAGGAGAGCAATTGGCTAGAGTCATTCTTTAGCATTCAGTACTGGGCAAAACCTGAGTTATTAGGAGTGTTTTCTTATATTTCTATCATGTTTGGTAAAGAAAGTGTTAAATTATTCTTAATATTTAGAGTGATTTTCTTTCACAGCACAACATGGTCAAATTCTATTCTCTAACTGTATTCCATATACATACTAATAGTTCAAATAAAGGTGACTTTATTTTCACTGAATCATTTTTTCATTCATTCCCTTTCTTCAACAGACAGTTTTACTTGCTGGTGTGACAGCAGTAAAGCCTTTGTGGAGTGTTCGTTTTAGCGAGGGAAGAAAGACAACAGATAATTTAAAAATAAAATGCATTCAGTATCCATTCACAATAGAACACTTCAGCCATCTAGAAATAGAAGGGAGCTTCCTTAAGCTAATAAAGAATATCTATAAATTAGTCTATTGAAAGAATTTCCCTAAGAACAGGAGCAAAACTACTGAAGTATTTCCCCTGAGGTCAGGAACAAGATATGAGTGTCACTATTACCATCTTTATTTAATATTTACTGCAGACTGAAGCTTGTGCAATAGGCAAGAAAAGAAACAAAACTCATAAAGCTCAGAAAGGAAGAAATAAAATTTTTACTCTTCAAAAATTATGTGATTGAATGGGTAGAAAATCCAAAAGAATCTATAAACTATAGAATTAATAAATGAATGTAGCAAGGTTGCTATATACAAGATCAACAGACAAAATCAATTGTTTTTTGCATACTTGACAGAGAAATGGAAAATAAAAATTTAAAAAATACACCATTTACTATTGCATCATAAAACCTGCCAAGGAGTAAATATAAAAACAATAAAGTTTTATCAAGTGTAATTAAAGAGGACCTATATATGTTAGGAATATGATATTAGAAATATGATAGGAACACTCAATGTTTAGGATACTAATTCTCCCCTAAATTAATTAATAATTTAATATAATCTCAATAAAAATAGTAGCAAGTTAATTTGTAGATACTGATAAACTGATTTTAAAATTTATATAAAAATTCAGATGGCCAAGAATTGCCAAGGCAATCTTGAAGAAGATGAACAAACTTGGGGGTTAGCAGATACTACAATGGCAGATATTCACATTAAAGTTATAGTAAACAATACAGTATAATGACACAAATAGATCCAAAGGAAAGGAGAGTCCAGAAACAGACCTTGTGGTATGCAAAGATGTCTTTAAACAGACACAAAAAAGGAAAAAAAAGATAAAGTGGACTATACTGAAATTATTTTTGTTAAGCAAAAAGTACCAGTAGGGGTGTAAAAAGACAAGCCACACATAAGGAAGAAGCATTAGCAACACATATAACTGACAGAGGGCTCATTAAGAATTGTATATATAAAACAGATAAACAGGTTTATACTGTATAGCACAGGGAAATATATTCAATATCTTATAGTAGCTCATGGTGACAAAGAATATGAAAATGAATATATGTACATTCATGTATGACTGAAGAATTGTGCTGTACACCAGAAATTGACACAACATTGTAAACTGCTTATAACTCAATAAAAAAAAGAAAAAAAACCTCAAATGAAAAAGAATATATAAAGAATTTCTACAAATCAATTTAAAAAAACACCCAGGTATTTCCAAAAAGAGGATATCCAAAAGGTCAATAAATATATTAAAAGAAGCTCAATTTCACTACTCATCGGTGAAATGTGCATTGAAACCATAAGATAATATCTCTACATGGCCACCAGAAAGGCTAAAATTAAAGACAAACAATATCAAATGCTGGTGAGAATGGAGAGCAACAGAAAAACTCATATACTGTTGGAAATATAAATTGGTACAAGCACTTTGAAAAACGGTCATTTTCTTCTAAAAGCTGATTATAAGCATCCCATGTAACTTGCAGTTCTACTCCTGGTTGATAATGAACAGAAAAGAATTCTTATGGCCTCTGTAGGACAGATGCAAAAATGTTCTTAACGCAACCATTCAAAAAAAGCCGGAGACTGGAAACAACCCAAACATCTACATTGTAAAGTAATGGAATAAAGAAATTTTGGTAAATTCAAACAATGGACTACTTTAAAGTAGTAAAAACGAAAAAATTACTACTATACATAATAATATCTGTGAAACTAAAATAACATTGACCAAAACAAGCTGTACACAGAAGAGTCCATGGAATATGATTCCTTTTACATATCTCTCAAAGCCAGGCAAGCTAATTTATGATATTAGAAGTCAGGATAGTGGTTTTCTTTGAGGGAAGCTAGTGACTATAAGGCAGCATAAGGGAGAGGGTAGGTGAGATTCTGGTAGTAGTGTCTTTTTTTTAAAGTCTTATGTTTTTGTTGAAGTGTGGTCAGTTTACAATGTTAGTTTCAGGTGTACAGCAAAGTGATTCAGTTATACATATACATAGATACGTATATATATTTTCAGTTTATTTTCCATTACGGCTTATTACAAGAAACTGAATATAGTTCCCTGAGCTATACATTAGGTCCTTGATTTTTAATCTGTTTTATATATAGTAATGTGTATCTGTTAATCCCAAAGTTCTAATCTGTCCCTCCCCTCCTTTTCCCCCTGGTAACCACAGTTTGTTTTCTATGTCTGCGAGTCTATTTCTGGTTTGTAAATAAAATTTGTATCTTTTTAAAAAAATTCCACTTAAAAGTGATATCATTTGATTCTTTTTCTTGATCTGCATGCTGGATACGCAGCTTTCGCTATATTTATTACTTATGCACTTTTATATATACAAATTATAGTTCAATAGAAAAGAAAGGTCATTAGAATGTAACATGGTGAATAAACTTTCAAACTATGAACATTTTGTGAAGGTTAAAAAGTAATAGGTTAAATGAAACTGAATAATATGAAGAAAATAAAATAGGAGAGAGTCACAGGGAACATAGGAAGGTGTGAAGAGGAGGGGTCACGATTTTAAAGAGAGTGGTCAGAGAGGCCTTAATGAGGACAGTTAAGCTCCTTTTTCTTACCTGTATGGTAAAATTTCCCTGAAAATCCCAGGTTGAACGTAAAATTTGTGATTTGTGCACGTAAAAGATTCTGAGTATCAAGCAGGGCCTGAAATACATAATTTAAAAAAAAATGTATCAAGTAGAGAATGGCATTGAGAAGATATCTTCCTTCAGCATTCAAAAAGTAAAACTACTCCTTTATACTTGAGAGAATTCAATGATGGAAAGTAGTTTCCTTACCACTTTATAGCTAGAGAGATGCTTTTGAGGTTACATAAACCCATACATATATTTATCCTTTAGCTTGCAATAAATCAGCAAAGAGTGTCAGCTAGAAAAAGGAAGTTAGGTAAAAAGTTTATTCCTCATGTATCAAAGGAACTAGTACCTAGTACATAAAATACGTCTCCTTTTACCCCCCTCAGGGACATAGTTCACCATCTGCTAAAAGAGGGAAACTCTAAGGGGAACTATGCAAGAACATATGTTGAAAGAAACAGATTGTTATTTTTCAGATACATCTCTTGTCTTCAAAATCCAACACTTTTCAATCTTTAAGTCTTAGATCTCCCAAAGATAGTGACTTTTCTTCAAGAATGGATATCGTGGTAAAGTAAATCTCTAATTTGCTCTTTCATTGAAAAACAGAGAGACAAACAGGACCCCTTACTTCCAAGAGTATTTTGAATCAGAGTTTTACTTGTTATATCCCATAAAGTATTTATCATGCTATGAGTATTTAATGGATTTTTTTTCCCTTTCTTCTCCTTTTTTTCTTTCTCATTCATATTTAAATTCCCATTCTTATATTCCTTCTCTCTCTGCCCTGCCCCCAAGTCCCTGTCCCAGACCATGGTAGTTATCCACCCCAACGAGGCAGAAAGTTAACACTGAATGGTAGATGGGTAAAGGCTCTTAGTCACCACTTCTTTTACACATGAAGAAACTAAGGAGAAATGACTTGCTCATTTTTACAGATAAATTCATGGTAGATCCTAGGTTAAGGATATAGATCACCTGATTCCAAATTAGAGACTTTTTTTTTTCCCTCTACTACACCAAATCTTTCCCCTCCTCTCCACAGTACGCTGGCTGGGTCCACAACAAAACCTTTTCTTAATAGTGTAGCAACACCTGGAAGTCCTGCCTCGTCATGTTCATTCATGGTCTCAATCTTTTTGGGGGGATAAACAGATAGATATTTTATTCAGAGACCATGCCATGATTGTATGCTTTCTCTGTGAATGCAAGTGATTCTCCTTGTGTAAAAGCAGAGGAAGAGAACTTTTGAATCTCAAATTTAAATTCATGTGACAAATGGTAAGTTTTGAAATTTAAGTATCTAAGTCTTCTTTTTCTATCCTTACTCTGTTTACATGAACAACTTCCTTTCATTTCACAACTGAACCATGTGATATGTGGGTCCTGAGGGCACTCATATATGGAAGGCAGGCCTGTTTGTGGATTTCCACACCTAACTATAGAAGCAAAAGGGTTAAACTGATGGCAGTGTCACTGGGGACCAGTTAGATCCCATCCTCACAAGGGCTAGGTACAGTTTGGGCAGGGGAAAGAGAATTTGGCTAGCTGAGGAGTGACAAAGTGAGGAACGGGACACACAACCTTGGTGTCAGGAGGTGTGGGGAGGGGTGCTGCCTTGGTGTAAGGGCTGAGCTTTTCTCTTTCTCTCCTTATGGAAGGAAAATCAGATAAGGGATCAGAAGGTATGGATTTAAATGCCAGCTCTGGGACTTAACAGTGCACTCACTAAGGCTTGGACTCAGATTGTCTCAGCTGGAATTCTAGATCTGTTCTTATTCAGCACTATGTATGTTATCAAATTTTCCAAGCCTCAGATTCATCGTATATAAAGTGGGAATCATAATAATTACCTCAAAACACTGTTGTGAAGATTAAGTGAGATAATTCATTTGTGCTCTTGGCATAGTGACTAGTATATGATACGTGTTCAACAATTATTAGCTGCCACTCCTCTATAATTGCTGCTGCTACTATTACTAATATTAATATGGTTGTTGTTATTGTTAGTGATAGATAATAAAATGTTACCTCTCTGAACTTTCCCTTCAGTTATTAAAAGTGAAGACAATTATCTAACTCATGGAATTGTGATGAGGAATGAATATAAAAGAGGTAATATATGCAGGAGTGCTTGATAAGCTCTAACAAAATGGCATAAAATATTAGGTATTGACATTATAATTACCAGCAATATATTATATATACATGTATATGTATATAATTATAATTATGTACATATTACTGATAATTGTATCTGTATCTATATAGTATGCATCTCTCATTTACTTCTTTCTTTGCTGAAATATAGTTGGTGTACAATATTATGTTAGCTTCAGGAGTACAACATAGTGATTCAGTATTTAAACACACTATAAAATGATCAGCACCCTAAGTCCAGAAACCATTTGTCCCATATAAAGTTATTACAGTATTGTTGACCACATTCCTTATGCTATACATTACATCCCTCTGACTTATTTATTTTATAACCAGAAGTTTGTACCTCTTAATCTCATTCACATATTTCACTCATTCCCTACCTCATCCCTGCCGTCTGGCAACCACGCATTTGTTTTTTGTATCTATGAGTCTTGTTTTCATTTTTCTTTTTTAGATTCCATATATAAGTGAAATCATATGATATTTATCTTTCTCTGTCTGGTTTATTTCACTTAGCATAATACCCTCTTGATCCGTCCATGTTTTCACATGGGAAGATTTCATTCTTTTTTATGACTAATATTCCATTGCATATATATATACCACATCTTCTTTATCCATTCATCCATCAATGGACCTTCCATATCTCAGCTACAATTGTATAATGCTACAATAAACACAGCAGTGCAGTTTTCAAGTTAGTGTTTTTGTTTTCTTTGAGTAAATACCTAGAAGTGAAATTGCTGGGTCACATGGAAGTTCTGTTTTGAATTTTTTGAGGAAACTTCATACTGTTTTCCATAGTGGTTGCACTAATTTACATTCCCATCAACAATACCTGAGGGTTCCCTTTTCTCCACATCCTTGCCAGCACTTGTTAGTTCTTGTCATTTTGATGATAGCCATTCTAACAGGTGTGAAGTGATATCTTATTTTGGTTTGGTTTTGTATTTTCATGATAGGTTAGTGATGCTGGACATCTTTTCATGTGTCTTTGGTCATCTGTATATCATCTTTTGAAAAATGTCTATTCAGGTCCTCTGCCCATTTTTAAGTGGATTGTTTTTGGTATTGAGTTTTATGAATTCTTCACATGTTTTGGATATTAACTCTTGGATATGTCATTTGCAAATATCTTCTATTCAGAAGGCTGCCTTTTCATTTTGTTGATGGTTTTCTTCAAAAATTTGGATTGATGTAGTCCTACTTGTTTATTTTTGCTTTTGTTTCCCTTGCCTAAAGCGATGCATCCAAAATATATTGCTAAGACTGATGTCAAAGAGCATGCTACCTATGTTTTCTTCTAGAAATTTTATGGTTTCAGGTCTAACATTTAAGTCTTTAATCTACATTGAGTATATGGTGTGAGAAAGTAGTCATTTGCATGCTGCTGTCCAGTTTCTTCTACCCAACTGAACATTCTAGCTGGCTCTTCCTATCTTTTCTTCCTCTTAGATCTTAACTTTCTTCTTTATCCATCTTACTTCATTCATTTCATTCTCTTAATTTTCTCCTTTCAGTGGTGAAAAATATGGATTAAAAGTCCATTTAAAAATTATTTCTTGTGTGTTCAATGTTTTAATCTTAAGATTGGAATAGTTTTTCTTTCTGTCTCCCTGAAAATAAAATCCCCAAACTATGGAACTTGAACTTTCCTTTGTGACTCTAGATAATTTTTTAAAATTTATATTTACAGTATTTGATAGGAAAAAAATCCAAACAAAACTATCCTGTTCTTTGGACTTAGAAGCTAAATAAAGTACCTGTGAACTAACCTCTAAATCAACTGTAATACATTGATTCAAATTATAATTAGCTCTGATTTTGCAGGTTTGATGTGGCATTTTACCCATTTATTTGATCTTCTAGAAATAAACAAAAAAACACATAAAAGATGTATTGAAACAAATGGCAGATACTAATATCATGAGTATGTATAGTGAAGAGGGAAACTTATTTCTAGATAATAGTTTATATACTTAAGCAGTAATATTTCTTATTTTTTATATTGCTTTTATGACCAAATTTTGGCAATATCTATGAGAACAATGTTATATATTTATCCATTATTTCTATATATATTTCAAAATATGCTTTGTACCAGAAACCTGAGTACTCAGCAATATCCTTAGATCACATCTTTTCTGTTAAACTCTTCATTCCTGTATGGTTTTATGCAGCATTGTTCTATTTAAAACTGAAATAGTCTATTATTCCTATAAACAAAATACAACATTGTAAAATGACTATAACTCAATAAAAAATGTTTAAAAAAAACCCGAAATATAAAATGATATAAAATGATACTTTGCTATATTCTCTATGTGCAACATGTCTAAAATGCAGTGATAATATAAAAAAATCTACTCAAAAGAACCTAAATTATTATTCTAATACCAAATTCAGAAAACCACATGTATTCTGGGCAAGAAAACTCTCTCTGATGTGCATAGTACTTTGGCCATGGAGGAGTTAATTAATCACAGCCACTTGCAGAAGTACCATTCATGGTCTCCTCCAATCCAAGAGTCCTAAGAACATAGATGTCTACTATCAAAGGTGGTCTGATTATTGAAAAATGGTGCTTTATTTTTAAGTGTTCCAAAACTTTGTATATATTTAGGGTAATTTACAATTCCATGCATCAGTGATTATCTTTAAAATAACACAGTATTTTTTTCCAATTAAAAAATTAAAGTCACAAATAAATCTACCTCTCAGGATAAATTAATAGGATAAAAATCCATTCCATTTTAATCACTAACTACTTATACTTATGTGTATATAGATATATAGATGTATAAATAAGTGAAATTGGAGCTAGAAAGTAAAAATTAGAACTGTACCAATTACGATTAAAAATGCAGAGTTGTGAATTTTGCCTTTTTCATTTAGCAGTATATC